TATACATGCAAGCATGTATATATATGTCAATGTGTGTTATAAGTATCCATTTCATAACATTTGGCATTTGGCTAATAGTTTAAAATGCTTCTAACCATATAAAGTTGAAACTGTGATGCTTCCTAATTGGCGTGCCCTAAAATGTCAATGGAATGTCTAAATTTTCCATGCATTGTCTTTTTGGACATTTCTGGCTAATTTTGTATTATACTTTCCATCTCTTTTTTCTCTTCCCAGCTTCTTTTTCTAAGAATGACATTAATTAAGTAAACAATCAATCAGGAATTTTTTCCTTCTCTAATCTCCCCACCACATACATTCCATAGCACATTTCTTAAAGCAGCTTTATTGAGATATAATTTGCATCATAAAAGTCACCATGTGGAAATTCAATTTTTTTTTTATGTATTTACAGAGTTAATGTGTAAATTCAGTGTTTTTTAGTGTATTTACTGAGTTGTGCCAGCATTACCATAGTCTGATTTTAGAACTTTTCATCACCCCCAAAAGAAAAATTCATAGGCATTAATGGGCATTCACCATCCTATCCCAGCCATAAACAACCACTATTCTAATTTTTGGAGTCCTGTGGGATAATGCACTGGATTACAAGGTCGATTTAAACCACAAGGTCAGCAGTTCAAACTTACCAGCTGCTCCTCAGAAACCCATATATAGGGTCGTTATGAATCAGAATGAACTCAATGTCGCTTTACTACAACACTCTAATTTCTGTCTCTATAGATTTTCTTTTCACATAAATGTAATCTCAGGATATATGGCCATTCATAATCAACTCCTTTTACTTAACATATGTTTTTGAGGCTCATTCATGATATATCATGTATCAATACTATTTTAGATATTTAATACTACCACAACAGAAACACTGCAAGTTGGTGGCTTTAACAAACATAAATTTATTTTCTCACAGTTTAGGAAACTAGAAGTCCAAATTTAGGATGCCAGCTCCAGATGAAGGCTTTCCCTCTTGGTCCTTATCTCTTCTGCTACTTCATGTGTCCTGTCTTCTCTCTTCCCCCATCTCAGCTTGCTAGTTTGTATTTAATTACTTTCATATTTCAAAAATGGTTCACTCAAGAAAAAGAGCCTTGATGGCACGTAGGTTAAATGTTGGACTACTAACCACAGGTTGTCAGTTCAAACCAATAAGCCAGGGAGAAAGATGAAACTGTCTGCTTCCAGAATGATTCACAGTCTCAGAACCCATAAGGAGCAGTTCTACTCTGTCCTACACGGTTGCTATGAGACAGAATTGGCTGGATTTGGCAGTGATTCAAGATACACCCAACACTAATGCTCTTATTAACATAACAAAGACAACTCATTCCCAATTACTGGCTATTGATTATCTGCCTTTTTTCTTAATTCTACAGGAATGAAGGACCTTCAAAAACACTTTGCTTTATGGGGATGAGGAATAGGGACCAAAAACTCAGCAAGTAATCTGAGTATCAGAAGACAGATGACCCCAATATTGTGTTTCAATCAGTAAATTCCTAATATACCTCAAGCAAAGCATGCATCAATCCTAAGGCATTGACATTCCAGTCTCCTGGTGGTGTGGTACTATAGGATCAGCACTGGACTGCAAAACACTAGGTCCATAGTTCAAACCCACCAAGGACTGGTTTTCAACCCTATATAGGGTCACTATGAGTCAGAATTCATCGGAAGGCATTTAATAACAACAGCAGTAAGAGAGAAAGCACAATGTTAAATGGAAAGGAGACTGTGGTTCTTAGAACAATGTCTTAGTGTAGATTCATGAAATTGAAGGGCAGATGGGTTTACCTAGGATATTAGAAAGTGATGTGGCATTGGTTAGTTCTTTTCAAGTTGGTGAAGTTTTGAATGTGGCAAACCTTAATGTTAACTGAGAATGAGTCATGGAATAGATAAATAGGTGAATATAATAACAGATAACAGTTTGTTCTTGGTTATCCTCTAGACTGAGAAGTCATGGAGAAAGAGAACAGCACCGTGGTGACAGAATTCATTCTTCTTGGTCTGACCCAGTCTCAAGATGTTCAACTCCTGGTTTTTGTGCTAGTCTTAATTTTCTACCTCATCATTCTGCCTGGAAATTTTCTCATCATTCTTACCATAAGATCAGACCCTGGCCTCACAGCCCCCCTCTACTTCTTTCTGGGCAATCTGGCCTTCTTGGATGCATCTTACTCTTTCATTGTGGCTCCCAGGATGTTGACTGACTTCCTCTCTGAGAAGAAGGTGATCTCCTACAGCGGATGTATCACACAGCTCTTTTTCTTGCACTTCCTTGGAGCAGGGGAGATGTTCCTTCTTGTTGTGATGGCTTTTGACCGCTACATTGCCATATGCCAGCCTTTACACTACTCAACTGTCATGAAACCTAGAGTTTGCAATGCATTACTGTTGGCTTTGTGGCTTGGGGGCTTTGCTCACTCCATTGTTCAAGTGGCCATTATTCTACATTTGCCCTTCTGTGGCCCAAACCAATTGGATAATTTCTTCTGTGATGTTCCACAGATCATCAAACTGGCCTGTACTGACACCTTTGTAGTGGAGCTCTTGATGGTCTCCAATAGTGGCTTGCTCACCCTCCTGTGTTTTCTAGGCCTCCTGGCCTCCTATGCCATCATCCTCTGCCGTGTAAAGGGGCACTCTTCTGAAGGGAAGCACAAGGCTGTGTCCACATGTACCACTCACATTATCATTGTGTTTCTGATGTTTGGACCTGCCATCTTTATCTACACTCACCCCTTCAGAGCATTTGCCGCTGACAAAGTTGTCTCTTTCTTCCACACAGTAATTTTTCCTTTGATGAACCCAGTGATTTATACCCTTCGCAACCAGGAAGTAAAAGCTTCTATGAGGAGGTTGTTGAGTAGGTACATAGTTTGATGAATGGAATAGAAGAACGAGAAAATCAAGAGAGAAGAAAGTGCAACTGAAATTCATTAAATGCAATCATTTAGGAAATGCTATATTTGGCACTTAACAACAACAACAACATATTTGTTCTGGACTTCCAAATTACAGGCACTAGTCTAATCATATGAATGAAAGAGGTAGGATTCCAGTTCGCCTGGAGTTACAGTTAAGTGGGAAAATATAGGTTACATTATTAAATAAGCAAGTAATAATTTCAGAAAGAGATTGTGCCCTGAAGTAAATTGAAAATAGTATTACGGTAGAGTTTGGCTGTGGGGAAGAGGTAGCTACTTTACTTTTGGTTGTCAAGCAAGTTCTTATTGAATGGGTATGTTAGCTGATATCCAAATGACATGAAAGGTCCAATCATGCAATTAAATTACACGCAGAGAGAATGAGTATTCTATGTACCTGAAAATCTTAGGAATTTGATATATTGAAAGATATAAAACAACAACAACAAAAGTTGCCATTGAATCAATTCCAACTCCTTGTTGTTCTTAAATGCCATCAAGTCGATTCTGACTTAAAGGGACCCTGTTCAGGGTTTCTGAGGAGCAGCTGGTGGGTATGACCCTATGCAGGGTATGTTGTTGTTGTTAAGTGCCATCGAGTCGGTTTCGACCCATAGCGACCCCGTACAGGGTTTCCGAGCCTGTAAATCTTTACGGGAGCAGAAAGCCTCATGTTTCTCTCACGGAGCGGCAGGTAGTTTCGAGCTGACCTTAGGGTTCGCAGAACGATTCGTAACTACTACGCTACCAGAGCTCCTTACATGTAGGGTATACAAGACTGTAAATCTTTATGGAAACCGTCAGTCTCATCTTTCTCCTGCAGAATGACTGGTGAACTTGCACTGTAAGGTGTGGCCCTATGGGTTAATGCGTCAGACTGCAAAGTCGTTTGAACTGCAAGGTCAGTGGTTCAAGCTCACCAGCTGCTCCTTGGAAACCCTATACAGGGTTGCTATGGGTTGGAATCCACTCGACGGCACTTAACAACAACAACAAAAGCACTTCTATCCATAACTATCTATCTTTATTAAACTAAACAGAAATTTACAAACTCTAATCTAACCCATTGCCACAATGATGATTCTAGCCTCCTCTTGTTTATCTGTAAATTGCCACTCAGTTATAAAACCTGAATCTAACCAGTTGTCATTCTTATATTTGTTCAATTTCAGTATACATGTACGTTGTTGTTAAGTGCCGGCGAGTCGGTTCTGACCCTGTATAGGGTTTTCAAGCAGCGGCTGGTGAGTTTTAACTGCCGACCTTGTGATTCAAACTAACTTAACAGTCCAGTGCATTATCCCATTGCGCCACACCAGGACTCCACTTAACCTATACCTTCTTGGAAAACAACTGCATCATCTAGAGCACAGTGGTTAAGTATAGTCCTTTACTTTGATAGAAACCACTCATTTTTGAAATCATATGTGTCAATATCTTCCCCCTCGCAGCCCAACAACTCCTTCACTGAGGTTGTATCACACATATGTGATACAGTTAGGTTCTGTAGTACTTCCTTTCTTTTGTTCAACTTAATAATCTTGGACTTAATTTGATGTGTTTGTACCATTTACATTTAATATATATGAGCTAAACATAAATATGGTTAGATCAAGTTTGCTATCTTTCCAGTTATTTTCTATTTGTGATTTATGTTTTACCCCTTTTCTGCTTGCTTCTGGTTTAATTGATCATTATTTATAATTACATTTTCCTCTAATATTAGATATTTTTCTAAATTAATGATTGCCCTAGAATTTATCATTCAAATTGATGAATCTTTACAGAAGCAGACTACCACATATTTCTGGGTTCAAATCATCACCTTTTGGTATCACTCATGTGTTTAACCACTGTGCAATTAGAACTCTTATAGCATTTACAATATATATTATTAATAATGTAAAAATCTATATTCAAATGCTGCTTGTACTGCATTTATACACTTTAGATCAATGTATCCCTGTCCTTTGCTGTGCGGTTTTTTTTGTGTTTTTGTTTTACCTTGATATTTGGTATAATATCAACAACAAAGACACTGCATATTGCTACTATTTTTGCTTTAGATTGTTAGTTATGAGGCAATTAAAAGGAAAGAAAAATGAGTTTAATTTTAATCTTTATTTATACCTTTCCCAGCATTCTTTGTTTCTTCGCCTAGCTCCATGTTTCTGGTATCAGTCTGGTATGAGTAACTTTTGCATGAAAAACATTTAATATTTCTTATAGTAAAGAATGTTGGGGAACAAATTTATCATTTTAAAAATTTGAGTGAGAAAGTACTTATTTCCCCTCTATTTTTAAAAATTTTTTTGCTAGGTATAGAATTCTAAGTGGAACATTTTTTTCTCTCAGTATTTTAAGATGTCCTTTCATTATCTTTTGACTTGTACAACTTCTGATTTAAAAAAACAACCTACTGTAATTTTTATCTTTCTTCCTCTATATCTAATGTACTTTTCCCTTCTCTAGATAGCTTTAAGATTTCATCATTTATTGGATTTTTATCAGTTGAATGTGATATGACTAGAAGCAATTTCTTTGCTGATATTTATCCTACTTTTCAATTATTTAAATGACTTTCTTTGATGTCTAGTTTAGCATTTGTCATTAATATTAAAATGTTAACACTTTTTTCTTCAAATGTTCTTTTTACCCTAGTCCTTAAAGATTCTCCTTTTGAAATATAATCAGACATGCTTTAGATTGTTTGATACTTTTCTACACTTAAATACTCTATTCTACTCCCCCTTACTCTTATACATTTTCCTCTTTTTAATTTTTTACTTAAGTCATGCTAAGTCTATCATTAAGCTTGTCAGAGGCATTATTAATGTTACTGTGATTTGAAACTTCTAATATTTTCATTTCATTCTATGTTTTCATTTCTTAAATGGAAATACTGAATCATTACTTTATGTTGCTCATATTTTCCATTAGATACTGAAATATGTTAATAATAGTAACTTTATGTTCTCTGTCTAATAGTTTCACCATCTGCCCCATATCTCTGCTGTAGTATATTGATTCACTTGCCTATTCAAAAAGATGTTTGTTTGTTTTTGGCATAGTTTGTATATGCTTCATCAATTATTTTTATTAAAAACTGAAAGTTTCATGTAGTAAAGACTGATATAAACACATTCTATGGCTGAAAATGAGTACATTTTATTTTCATTGGATCTCTAGTGTTAGGATTTGAATCAATATGTCATTGCTGTTAGATGTCTTCGAGTCATTAGCAATACTATGCAAACAGAAGAAACCCTACCCGGTCCTTTACCATCCCACATGTTTGAATCCATTGTTGCTGTCACTTTATCAACCCATCTTGTTGGAGACCTTCTTCTGTCTTCACTGACTCTCTACTTTTCTAAGCATGATGTCCTTCTCCAAGGACTGGTCCCTCCTGATAATATGTACAAAGCATGAGAGATGAAGTTTCACCATCCTCACTTCTAAGGAGCACCCTTACTGTACTTCTTTCATGGAAGATTTGTTCTTTTGGAAGTCCATGGTATTTTCAAAATACTTCACCGACACCATAATTCAAGTGCATTGATCCTTCTACTGTCTTCCTTATCCATTGTCCAACTTTCACATGTGATATGAGCTGACTTAAAATACTATGGCTTGGGCCAGGCGCACTGTAGTCCTTGAACTGGTATCTTCACCCTTGAATACATTCTAAAGATCTTGTTCAGCAATTTGTCATTTAATGCCTGGACTGCGGCTTGCATGAACATTTATTGTGGATCCAAGAAAATTGAAGTCTGTGACAACTTTAATCTTTTCTCCATGTATCATGATGCTATTTATTGGTCCGTTTGTGAGGATTTTTGTTTTCTTTGCAGTGAGATGAAATCCAAGGAGCAGCTGATGAGTTTGAACAGCCAACCTTGCAGTTTAAACTGACCTTATAGTCAAGTGCTTATCCTACAGTACCATGCCAGTTGTCTGTATACAGATTAAATAACCTGGGGGACTGAATTATATAAGGAAGAATGGGGCATCAGGAATAGGGGAAGACTCATTAGCAATCTGCAATATGCAGATGATACAACCTTGCTTACTGGAATCAAAGAGATCTGAAGTTCATACTAAAGAAGATCAAAGACTACAGTCTTCAGTATGCATTGTGCCTCAGTGTAAAGATCACAAAAATCATCTCAACTGAACCAATAAATAGCATTATGATAAATGGAGAAAAGTTGGAAAGTGTCAAATATTTCATTTTGCTTAGATACACAATCAACGTTCATGGAAGCAGTAGTCAAGAAACCAAATGACGTAGTATGCTAGGCAAATCTGTTGCACAAAACCTCTTTAAAGCTTTAGAAAGCAAAGATGTAACCTTGAGAACTAAAATTCACTGACTCAAGCCATGATATTTTTAATCACCTCAT